CGGTACCTACTTGCTGCTCTTTTATGTGTGGTAAGCTCTGGCTTTTTCTCTTTGGAGTTGCGAACCAAGCTGCGCTGGTCCCAATTCCAGCGGTGGGCTCCCTCACGTGACGTATACTGCATTATGGAAGAGCCCATAGACCCGAGGGTTCGGGCGGTATCCAGTGCTGCTCGCGGAGCAGCTGTTTCGGCGGCTGCAAAATTCTGAAAATTTTCTGGACCGAATTCAGATTCACATCACAGCTGGGTTCGAAAGAGAGCCTTCAGAAGGGCACGACGGCGTGCAATCTTGCATGGTGGAACATGGTATAGAGGTGTCTGGAGAAGTGCCACTTCCTTGGGGGTTACGTCAGTGGATGGGGTGAATCCTAGGCCAGTCCCGGCACGTACGGCTCCTACACTGCAAGGTAGACGACCCAGGGTCCGTGTACTCTCCTACAATATCGGAGGCATGAGCTCTGACCTTTACGACGTCCTGGTTGATTGGCTCAAACGGCAAACCTGCGCAGACATCGTTCTGCTTCAGGAAGTCCATTATGGACTTGGCCGCGGCGAATCGCACTGGACGCGAGACTTCATAGCCTCAGCCTCACCGGACACAAGATATGCAGGTGTGTGCATTTGTATTTCGGCAAAGCTGGTGAAGCAGGAAGCTTTTGACTATCAGACGTGGGTGGCGGGAAGGATCCTACATGTCAGGGTTTATGGCAATGCTTTTCCTGTTGATGTTATTTCGGTTTATCAATGGGTCGATAAAACTGGCTCCACGGATACTCATGTTCAGAAACGACTGCAACTCTGGGAGAAGTTAAACCGGCTACTTGAAACTCTGCCGCGTCGGAATGTGTTGGTGATGGGCTGCGATCTGAACACAGTTCTGAAGCCATTTGGTGTACACATTGGATTTGGGGTTCAGGCTAGCCAGAGGACCATGGATGATGAGGTTGCGAATCTGTTGCAACAACACGATCTTTGTGTGCTTAACACATGGAAGAGTGCATGCTCCACCTTTCACCATGGCGAAGTACGTACACTGGCCTGTCCAGGCAAGCGTTCCTCTCATTGGGCCCTGGATCTTGCAAAGGCCGGCTCCGACACCGGGGCACAGTCACTCCCTGCGAGCCCTGCGTGCATGCCCAAAGGAGAATCCATCTAAGTGGCAAGAGTTTTGCACCACTGTTGAACAGGTGCTCCGTGAGCTCCCCGCACCGACGGTGCTGGCACGCCTGAATGCAAGGGTGCTTGCGGAGTGTAGGAAATTCTTCCCTCCCGAGGATTCTCGAGCCAATCGTAATACGCAAAATCATGCAATTGATGGTGCTATTGCACAAATGTGGCATGCTTACATGTGCTGGAGGAAGGGAAGAGGTCGTAGGGCGCTTCGAGGGGGCATGTTTAAAGCCTGGCGTCAGTATGCTGAGTTCAGGGCTGCTAGTCGTAAGCTACGAAAACAAAGTGTGCTTGCTAGAAAAGAACGTATCTACGCCATCATCGATAGGGCGGCCTCGGCTGCGGCCAAAGATCAGATGAATGAGCTCTACAATATCACCAGGGCTATTGCTCCTAGGCAACGTAAACGGGTTAGGATATGTGCAGTCGATGGTGCCATGCTTGCTCCATACGGGCAATTCCAGGCCATTGCCGGTTACTTCCAGCAAGCCTTCCAAGCCCCAGCCCCCTTTCGGTTTAGTACCTCTGCACCTGCACCGGGCATCACTGCTGATATGCTTCTCCCTGCGGTTCTAGGTCTTAAGCCACGCAAGGCAGTTCCAGCCAGTAGTATCCCCCGGAAGTCTGGAAGGCTTGTGCACAGCCTTTTGCGTGCCGTCTGGCTGAAGCCTACTCCGAGGGGGTGCGCTCATGTCCATCCCAGCTACCCCAAGAAATTACGCACTGTAGTTTAGCCTTGCTGCCCAAGCCGGGGAAGGCTATGCGTCAGCCTAAGGACCTTCGCCCCATAGGCATACAGGACCCGGCCTCGAAACTCATAGCTAGGACCCTGAAAGAAATGCTGGCCCCACAGGTAGCGCACCTGCTGCAGTGCACTCCGCAATTCGCGTATTGTGAGGGCAAAGGCATCGATCAGGCCATATTTAGGGTTATAGGACACTGCGGCCGTATGCGAAAGCGGTTAAGCGATGGGGTCCTCAGCGTTCATGCGCGTAGAGCCGGTAAAACCTCCAGTAAATGCTATGGCGGTATCATGGTAGGCATTGATATGAGTCGTGCCTTTGACACCCTTGCAAGGGATGTGCTTTTGCGCTCCCTGCAGCACGCAGGAGTGGATGCCTCTCTCCAGAGGATACTCATCGAGATTCACGAAGCCTGTCAATATGAGATCAGCCATATGCAACATACTACACAGGTGCCAATGGGGACAGGCGTTCGTCAAGGCTGTGCTGTATCCCCACTCTTGTATAGCCTGTTCACCGCGTGGTTTCTGGCTGAGCTCGAGGTCCGCACATCCCCTAGCTGGGTGCAACATCTGGTGACCTGCTTTGCAGATGATACCCACTTGGCATGGGAAATCGAGCAATACTCGGACTTAGCGTTCTTTAGCACATCCTTGCGGGCCACTTTCCAGCTCCTGCGTGAGTGTAAGATGCTTGTCAACTCTGACAAATCGACGCTAGTGCTGGGCCTTCGCGGAGCGCAAGCCAAGCGCTGGATTCGTACGCACCTGGTGGTTAAAGCCGGTAAGAAATGCTTGGACCTAGGGACTCCGGGAGCTGCACTGTGCATCCCTGTGGCTGATCAATTTGTGTACTTAGTTGCTTCTTACAAGGGTTTCGAACAACAAACGCTTCAGCACCGGCTTAAAGCTGCCTCGGCTAACAGATCCAGACTCAACAAACTTCTCCATAGTCGGCAGCTACATGTGCGTCGCCGCATCAGTCTCTACATCTCTTGTGTTAGAAGCTCCCTCTTGTTTGGGCTTTATGCTGTTGGACTAAATGAAGGGTCACTGTGCAAGCTGGAAGCTGCCGACTCCCGCCACGTGCGATCTGTTGCCAGATCGCCTGCTCACTTGTCGCATGAGAGCAACACTGCGCTACGGCACAGACTTAAGATTCAGAGTCCGCTACAGGACCTCGTTGCGACCATGAAGCGTAGGGAGGCTGCATGTCAGGATGTTAACTTTGTTCAGCATCTCCAAGGCCTTAGCCAGTGGATCCAGTCCAATATGCATGCGACTGCTGACGTCGGCCAACCTGCTGAGCATGGACGGCTACGACCTTCTGTGGGCTGGTGAAGCGTCTATGAGAAGCAGTGGAGCAAGTCCAAACGGACGACGAGCTCAAGGATCGACTCCTTCGGGTGGGATGGTTGGAGGACGGCATCAACGCTCTCCTGCCGGCCTGGCACTATTTCCGATGGGACGCCACAACGCAACGGCAAGTGGTTTCGGAAAGGCCGCCCTTGACCCAGGATCGCCTTCTGAAGTGCCTCGATGTGCTGGAGAAGGGTTGCAGCCTCCCCACGGTACTCCTGCGGTTCCGCTCGACGCACAAGCTGGGTCAGGAGACACAGGCGGATGTGGTTCCGTTCATGTTGTCCATCAGTCTTCGGACTTCTGTGTCCCAAGAATGCCACGAAGCTTTGACAATTCTGGCATACAGCGGCGCCTTGAAGATGCTTGGGCTTCGGCTGCGCCCAGAAAAAGTGCAGCAGTCTCAGATGGCAAAGGAGTTGACCGAAGCTTACCTGACGGTTCCATACACGGATTGGTCCCGCCGGCCCGCCCCGTGGACCCAGCAGCAACCGCTGCCTCAAGCAGCCGCAATGGAGAAGTAAGGCCAGGGGCTCATCATTTGCAGGTTCGGCTCAGGAATAGTCACTTTGCTTCCCCATCACACCTGCTGCCAGCTAAACTGCAAAACCCCCATGTCGTCTGATACTTTAACGCATGTGCTCAGGCCTTTGCCTGGATGGGGCACCTGACGGCTGATTTGCAGGCATGCTGTGGTATGCTCCAGACCGCTGCTAGGATTTTGGGGAAGTCTAATAAGCCATACCTCCCGGGTTGCCTGCCTTGGAGTCCCGTGCAGAGCCTGGCCTTCACTCCGCAGGCAAAACGATGTAGGCGAGTTCATGCAGCACCTCATTCAATGTGCAGCGCCACAAGCATACCATGGAGCCTAGCAATCGCGTACCAGCAATCCCCTCACTGTAGAGGATGAGGGCCCTCTCAGTGCACCGATTTTGATTGATATGCGAGGGGACACCATGCAAACTTTGATTGATGCATGGTCCTCCCAATCGGCTGTGCATGCTTTGGAGTCTCATTCGGGCCTTGTTATCCTTCAGCTTAAAAGATACTCTAGTCCGGAGGGTGTGCCCGCCAAGAACTCCGCGCCATTGCTCGTTCAGCCAGGGGAGGCGCTCGCTGTTCCCGTGTTTGCTGCCCCAGGCAGTCTGGACCTGCTGTCTCGCCAGTTTCGGGTTGCTTTTGTCATATACCACCATGGCGTATCACCGTATGGGGGGCACTATCAAGCTGCACTTAGCATGCCTAGCACATCGGATCTTGCTGGTGAGTGGCAGTTCTATATCTGTGATGACGGCATTGTTCCGAAACGTGCCGCCTCGGCGGACCTCAAAGACATTTTACACAATGCGTATCTAATTGGTCTGGTACGTGGGGATGCTCTCCACTGCCAATAAACACCGAAGCGTGTTGATGCAAGCCCTGCTGCCGACGAGCAGCCACGACTATGAGCTGTCGGCTTCAGCCGTGCAAAACAGCCTGTGGTCCTTTCCAATTACTGTATTGAACAGGGGGCTTTCCGTGCGCATGTTCTTTCTCATGACTTTGTTGCCCTGCTGTACAGTGGTCTACGTACACAGCTTTTTCCTCCTCTCAAGCCGGGGATCAGGGCGTGCGGAGCCCTGGTCTCTTGGGATCGCTAGGGCATTCGTGCCGGGTGCCACGTGGTCTGCAACTCAGCCGGCTGTTTGCCTCTTCTGCTAGTGTCTGACCAATACTGAGCCTTTGCCTGCCTCGGTATGGACAGCGTGTCAGCTCTAGGCTCCGTTGATGCATAGCAGCCTTTGCCATTATGCAAATCCACCTTCCTCGCCATGTCTACAATGTGGCTCTGGAAGAGTCACTGCTGCTGCAGGCATATAGGACGCTGTGCGGTGTCTATGTTGGGCACCAGTGCCCACCCAGCACGACCATGTCAAGCCACAATGACATCCTGACCCTTGCTAAGCAGCACTTGGACCCATCCGCCATGGCAGTTCTGTCGCAATATGCTGACATGCTTTCCATGAAGCTAAGCGACGATGTTGTGACGGACTTTCCTGCCCCGGTGGGATCCCTCAGCCCCAAGGCCACTGAAGCTGAACAGCTTGCCTGGCACCATCTGGCTGAAGGCAGTGGGTCCATTTGGGCCTCGGCGAGGGCGGTTGTACCACTGCTGCCCTTTGACCGGGACACTCGCAAGTTCTCTCAGGGCTTCATATGCACTCTGGGATTGATGGCCAAGCGGGGTGCACATGGACTCACTCGTCAAACCAGTGGACACCTTAATGTCTGCAAACTGCTTAAACAGCTTGTGTTGGCGATCCGTCCGAGCCTGTGCTGGAGCAGTCTTACGATTACATTGGATAACAAATGCCAGCCGCATTTGGATGCTGGTAACTGGACGGGCGATAGCCTGGCTATCGGGCTAAGCCATCATGATGCTGGTGGTCTTTGGCTTGCGAATCCTGATGGCTGCGACTTTATGGAGGTCGGCGACACACTGTATGCCGGAGAGGTGCACCCCACGAGTGCTCAAGGTATCCTCTTCACAGGCAAACACACGCTGCACTCCACGTGCCAATGGACTGGCGGCAACCGAATTATGCTGATTGCCTACTGTGTTTCGAGCCATGCCAGTGCACCGGCTGACCTGCTGCAGCAAGCCAAGGAGCTTGGTTTTGTCCTTCCAGGACGTAACTGAAAGGGCTTATGATAGGTGCTCGTGCGGATGGAGCTTTTTCCTGTTCTGTAAGCTGGTTAATCCTGCCCCGCCGTAGGTAGCCTGACCCTTCCACGCATATGTGCTTGTTGCCGGCCATCCCAATAGCACTGCCTCAGATCTGCTTTTGACCATGGGGAACCGGTCGTGCACACTCTGCGAAAATAAGAGCATCTTCTGTGCACTGGTATGCTGCAGCCTCGTGCACCCATGTGTGGTGTGTGCTTGCATCAGCAACTTTGCTCGCTTGTAGACGTCGTGCTCTGAGGTCAACATGTCCTCTCGGCGTGATGCCTGCGCGCCGGCCTCGTCAGTTATGCCAGAGCCTGGAAACGTTGGAGGTGCTACAAATGCCCGATGCCTCTGCCAAACTAGGGGGTGTCGCGTCAGCTTCCTTGAGAATGGTCATCGCCATTGCTGTGCAGAGTGTCGGAGGACCACAGGGGCTAGACACTCAGGGAGGTGCCGCGAGGCACAACATCGCGATCGAGCCTCGGTTCTTGGGACACCAGCTGCAACTGGTAATCGTTTCTTCCCTTGCTGTACCTATGGTTGTGCTAGGGTTACTACGGGTACCTTTCTTTATTGCTGCTCTTACTGCGCCGATTCTGGGGGCACTCTGCATTCTGTGCGATGTCAGCACAGACGTGGTGTGGCTTCTTCATCAGCTCCCAACTCTGCTGGCACTTGGAAATGACAGAGCGACGCAAGGGTTAGCGCTGGGTATGCCGGCTGCCTGGACAACGGCCTGGCCCTCATCGGCTACACCTGCACTGCCGGCCCCTGCACTCAGTGAGGCAGCGACTACAGGAGCTGAACCTGCTACTGGCCTGAGCATGGATGAGTCTGAAGATACTGCGAACTTTGGACAGTCGTCGCAGTCGCGAGTTCCGGGGCACAGGGAGGCAGTCACGGCAACGACAGTGATTGACCTAGAGGAGTTGGATTAGGCTGTGCATAGACTTCTTCCAGACGGCCACATTGTCCTTTATCTGTGAGCCTCATCTCTTTTGTCTTTTGCTGCTAGCATTCTCTGTGGAACCATTAAACAATGGTGCGAACTCGATTCGCCGGGCTTGAGGCCTGTCCCCGCATCGTATCGACCTGGACGATATGGCGA